CCCCCCCCCCCCCCCCCCCCCCCCCCCCCCCGCCGCCGGCGTCTCTGCTCAGCAGCTCTGGATGCCGCCACCTCCAGCAGCCTTGGCTGGCAGCCAGGGAGGCCAGCGGAGGCGGGAGGTGGCAAGGCTGGCTGTCCCCTGGGGCTCCATGTGATGGTAATTGTGTTAATCCCGGCCAGCCAGGGAGACGGGAGGCAGAGGCAGCGGCTCCACCATGGCTGCTTCTGGGGTGGGCTTGGAGCGGTCAAGGCCACTGCCACCCCCTTCCCATAGGAGCAGAAGCAAGGAGGACAGTCAGGGACGGGCAGGCCTCACGCAGGCTCAGAAATGCACATCCTGAATGGCTCACTTGAGGGCAGGGACACGTTCTGCATGCATGAGAGTGCCCATCAACCCCATGGAGCACAGGCTCCTGGAGGAAAGGGGTCCATTGCCTAAGAGATGGGGGCCTGGAGCCTGGACCTCTGTGGGGATGGGGCAGGAGAGTGCTGGCCCAGTAGCTCCTGAGGTCATCTCAGAGCAACAGCTCCTGGAGGTAGCAGGAGCTCAGGAGGAGGGGGCCGCTGGGGGACCCAGGCCCTCCCCCCGAGGAACAGGCCAGAGGGGACTTGGCCATGAGGCTTTGCTGCAGAGAATGGGGCATGACTGAGCTTTGACTGAAAGAAGAGAGGTCAAACGACCTGGCAGGGGCCCCTTGCAGTCCAATGGACCCAGGGCAGGGAGGTTTCCAGCAGTGGCTACAGCTCTCAGAAAAGCTGGCCGGGAGATGGTCATCTCCACTAGTGCCCCCAGGCGTGCCTGTGCCTGGGAAGGCCTTTGTGGGGTGGGTGTGAGGGGGCTGCTTCTGGAGCCTTGTTGGAGGCTGCTGAGCAGGCAGCTGATAAAATCTAATTGCTCCATCGATCGGGCGGAGCCACAGGAGACCCACAGTGATTGAGATATTCTGAGCCAGCAGGCCCTCCCCCTGCTGCCCGCACACACGGAGACCTCACAGTACACAGGCACGAGTGTGCATGTGTGAAAGCAGGCATGTGCGCCCCGCTCCCTACTAGGGTTGTGTGCTTCGGGCCTTGGCACGGCCCAGGCACCCAGCTCACACTCTGCTTCTGGGTGTCACCATGCCACACACCTGTGTGCTCACTCTCACTTTATGCTGAGGTGCAGGGCGGGCGTGCAGGCACGCCAGGGGTCACAGGTACTCTGCATGAACTGTCACGTGTGTGCACTATGTCCAGGTTTTGTGAGAGTTTGCTCTCTCCTTGGGGCTGTTGTCCCCCATTGGCTTCCACTTGCTCCTGTCGGCCCTTGGGTGGGGACATTTGCCTGCCATCACCTTCTCTGGCTTCCCCAGGAGCCACGGGTCAGTCCTATTCCCACAGGAATGGATCCTGGACAGGAAGGGCCATGGAGGACTGTGAGGGACCCAACCTGGGTCCATGCTGGTGTCTTAGGGCCGTGTGTACGTGTCTATGAGTGAACATGGCCCTTATCAGGGACTAGTGAACGCCCAGATCGCCATGGCGACACCTTACTGCCGCCAGTGGGCTGGGTCTCACTGTGGGCCCTCCTTCTACCTCCAGAAGCACCCCCCCCCCCGTAAGAAGGGGAGGGGGGAGTTTCCACTGTGGAAAATGGGAATGGGACTCAGGGAAGTGAGAGTGCTGGGTTATTTGCTAAACCTAGAAGGGGTGTGTGCAGGATGGGGCATGGGCAGCAGGTGTGGACCCAGCCCAAATCCACCTCCAGGGCTGGCACAGCTGGATGTCGTGGCTCTCCTACCAGCTGGGCCCTGATGCCCCAAAGGTGTTGGGAACCAGCTTTGGCTTCCTCAAGGAGCCCTCATGCTGGTTGTGCCCCTCTCTGTCCTGCCAGGTCACTGAGGTAGGGACCCTTCAGCCAAGCAGTAAGGACCTCGTCCCTCCTGGGGCAAGGCCTAGGGTTGGGCTGCCGAGGTGGCAGCGAGGTGGCTGAGATCAATAACTTATTAGCACCATTCTGTCAGCTGTAAAGTGGAGATTGATCGGCCTCTTGCTGCTGCTGCACTTCCCCGGCCTGATAAAAATGACAGATTAAGGGAATAAGAGAAAGGAATTAGGCTCTGGGAATTAGGCTTCTGGGAAGCCTGCCTTGCTGAGGTGTCATGGCAGGCCTAGTTCACAGAGGGGGTAGCCCTCACCCCACCCACCCAGGCAGCCTCCTCAGGGTGTAGAGGGGGCCAGAACATGGGCTCTGGCCTGGAGGCCAGCACTGTGGTGTGCCCAGGAGAACAGGACATCTGCTGAGCTGTTCATCAGACATCCCATCCCAGGCCTTGAGCTCAGGAAGGAAGGATCAGGGGCTGGGGTGGAGAGGGGCTGATTTGGGGAGACAGATGAGTATAATTTGGATGTAGGACCTGAGAGAGGTCTTCAGAGAGGGGTGGGGCTGTGCCTCCCTCACACACACACATGCGCATGCGCGCGCGCACACACACACACACACACACACACACACACACACACACACACACACACACACACACACACAC